TTTTTGAATAGTAACTAAAAAATGTAAACATTTGTAGATAACTAAAACTTTGACCACAGTGTAAATAATGTGAAAATCCAATCAAAATGTACATAACATCAATGAGCTTCTAACTATGCCTGAATGAGTTATTTTTCTTAAAATGTTTGAAAATATGAGTAAATAATTATAACAGATACAATAATTACATAGATTAACATATATTCAGACAGTCCTAAGCTTGTAAAAAGTAGGAAGGGAAGTTCATTGAACTTAACATACATATTTTAAATGATTCTCTTTTAAAACATGAAACACTCAAATGATGCTAATACAACTTAAAAATATTTTTTTTGTCTTCATATAATACCTGTAATCGTTTAATATTTATAATATTTATAATCGTTATAATCTTCCATCATAATATTTATAATCGTTATAACAACATACAACAAAACTCTAACACAACCGACAACTGAACTGAACTATAACTACTATACTACTAACACTAACTATTGTAACTATTATAACCTATTATAACCGCGTGTACAATGTAATATTTGAAACTGTTATAATATATTATAACAGTTTAAAACAACAGTTAGACAAATATATTACAACAACATAACGAATTAGAAAAATATAACAGTTTCGCCTACCTTTATCCACAGAGTACTTTCCTCACTTCAGTTCCTGCGCTCGTCGGTGTAGTTCCTCACCATAAAACAACCCCGCGGTTTTCGCTCCGACATATATATATTGCAAAAATTATATACCAACACTATTTTTTATTTCATGCCTTAGAACTTTAGACGTGTGTAATGTTTCACTCTATCCATCCGTTTACTGCTATTGTGGCAGGAACAAGTGGATGTGGGAAGTCAATTTTTGTAACAAATTTCATAAAATCAGTTACAGAAATATGTAATTGTGATTTTCGATCAACAATACCAACTAGATGTCGGGTCGGCGCAAGAAATCAATCTAAGTAAATAACAGCGCACATGAGACGTGAGCTCTTGTTTCATTTAGTTCACTTGAAACACAGCCAATGTAAACACGTTTCACAATGCCGCAATGTGTATTTAAAAGTTGCAAGAATAATGTAATTTAACGGCCAGAGTGTCTTACTTTCGGTTATTACATGTATAATATGTTATATTTTAAGCTCTCTACTAACAAATAATATCATATTTTAAACAAAATTACCGATCAAAACCGCCCCTACAAATGTTTTGCCAATGTTGACCAATACACGCGCAAACATTTGTGAAACAGAACATGGACGCATGAAGTAGATTTGTATTGTAATAATTTTTAATAATTCGTTACCAAAACTTTAAATAATGGTAATTGCTACTTTTGTCTTTGTTTGTGTAATTCCAATAGATACTAGATTTTTTTAGCTTTCCTAGCTTCCTTCCCCGCTCGAGCCGACCCATTAGTGCTACAACTATACTACTAATATAATTGCAGTATGGCTCTACCACGTTTTAAAATTTTGCAATGGGCGATCTTATTGCTGACAGCAATTTCTTCCAGACAACCAATAAATGGACAGGATTACCTGAAGATGACAGGAGTAGGGCAAATTGGTGTGATAAAAAAGAATACACATATTTATATATATATACTATACATAGATACATACATACTATGAACATATATATACATACAAAAACTAAAATAGATATATATTGAATTAGTTAATTAAATGCAATCAATATACTACATACTATATTATATTTAATGGCTAGTGTGGAAAGTATGTATACCAACATCATCATAAATGCCCAAAACATGAATATAATTTTAATTAAACTTATGATCATATTATAAATTATTTTAGTGTTGAACGCGACTCAATACTTCCTGGACCAAATTCGAAGAAGAAAACAGAAACATAACAAAATGAAGTAACTCGCAAGGCAATAAAGGGAAAAAGAACTTTATTTGTTACATGTTAAGGTTGATTTCATACCAAAGTTTATTTAATTTATGTCTTTTCATTTCCAAGTGATAGGAGTATTGTATAGCTTTGTTCTTTTTTGTGACTAATGATCGTAAGATTTGTGACTTTATTACTACATGCGATGGTTGTAATTAGGTTGAGCTTAAAACTATTTTAATTTTTTGTCTCTTTTTGTAATTGTAGCTGTATAAGTTTATATTCACGCGGACAGTATTTAGCTATGATTTTGTAAGTGACCCGTTATCTAGTTGGTTTTGGTAATTTAATTGGCAGTTTTTATTGTCACGAACCCTAAGCTTGTAACAATTGGTGTCAGAAGTGGGATACAATCTTGCGAAGTCAACGCCAGCAGGAAACTGACCAGAGACGATTTGGTGGTGCAACGCCGCCGACGTCAGAGGGCCAGCTGCCGGCCACGAAGGCCGGGCCGTCAGCGGCTCCCACACCTGCAGCACTTGACTTAGGTGCTCCGATGATGATGCTGCAGCAGTTGCAGCGCGGACAGGAGGAACAGGCCCGTCGGTTGGAAAAGCAGCTGGAGCATGGACAGGAGGAACAGGCCCGTCGTTTGGAAGAGCAGTTCAAACGCGATAAGGAAGTGAAGATGCTTCTCATGAAGAACCTTCACGCTACCTTCGGGAAAGAGTTAAGGGAAGTGAAGGATAGAGTTGCTCAACACGACTACCGCCTGTCCGAAGCTGAAACCCAAATCAACCAAGTAAACAACGTGATGGCTGACACGAAGAAAACGCTGGACGACCTCAAACTTGAGTATGGAACTACAGTTCCCGTAGTAGCTACTACACCTTCGCTACGTGGGTTCAAAGTGCTGCCGTTCGACGGGACTTCTTCCTAGTCGGCCTACAAAATCCAGTTCGAAGCTGTTATGAAGGCGAACGGCTGGAATAAAAGTCAGGTCATAACTGCTCTCACACTAGGCCTGCGCGACCAGGCCTTAACTGTTCTGGAAGCTCTCGGTGAGGAAGTGACTTATGAGCAGCTCCTTAAGGCATTGGAGGCGAGATATGGCGACGCTCACCTGGAACACGTCTTTCGTGCGCAGCTTAAAGATCGCGTGCAACGCATCAACGAAAACCTGCAGCAGTGGGCTCTTGAGGTGGAGAAACTGATTCGAAAAGCATACCGGTCTGTACCTGCGCTCATTGAAGGGAACCTGGTACAGAATTTCATCGACGGCACGCGACCTTGAAGTTATACCTGCTGTGAGGCTCGGACACTTCGAGACGCTTAAGGATGCCTTGGCCCATTCACTGGAGGTGGAAGCCGTGTGGCAGGATCATCGATCCCATCGCGTCAGGAAGGTTGCAGCAGATACAGTTCGCGACCGCAATATAGGTGCCCTAGCGCTATGGCTGTGGGGAAAGGGGCCATCTTCGATCCAGCTGCCCTAAGCGAACTGTAGAAAGGGAAGTTGATCGATCTCGGGAGCGTAGTGCGTCCAGCAGCACCGCCCAGCAGCAGAAGGGAAACGAGTAAAAGCCAGGACTGCGGGGCCGGTGCTGGCTGATGTTAAAAGAGCCCCAAGGATCTCGATGTCGCAAACTAATGATGGGAACAGCCTAATCATCAAGGGCGAAGTCAACGAAATGCCGTGTAAACTGACCATAGACACTGGAGTCTCTCGCACGGTTGTCAGTTCCCAACGTATAAGTCCTTGGGGACTCCGCATACAACCGAGAACGCAATAATTTGGTAACAGCCACCTGTCAGCGTATACCCGTCCGTGGAGAGAAGGAGATGAAGTTGAAGCTAGGCAATATGATCTACCAATGTTAACGTGGCTGATATAATGGACGCTGCATCCTGGGCCTAGACTTCTTGAGGAAGAATTGTTGTGAGATTGACGTTAAGCAAGGTGTTTTGAAATGTGGACAAGAGGAACTTTTCGTGGAAGGGGTATTACCAAGGAACGTGTACCGTCTTAAGAAATTGTTCTTCCGCCGAGATCGGAAACGATTGTGCCGGTTAGTCTTCCTCGGAATCCTGGGCAAGCTCATCGTTGTGTACTCGTGGAAAGGGTAGACAATGACCTTCCATGGAAAGTGCCTCGAACCTTGGTCAGTACTACTACTAAGTGTCAGGGGTGTTCAATGCATAGTTTTACGAGCATATAGATTTAGAGTTTATAGGACACCACAATGTACAACGATATTTTAGTGGATGAGATATTTCGCTCCTATTATTGTTATTGCTTACTATCTATTAAGTAAGCAATAACATTTTAGAAATAATCATAATTAGTCGCAGGTTTTTTATCGCACGACGCGGTTGCTCGCTACTTTGGTAGGGAGCGGTTGTGTCGGCGTGTATAAAATAGCAGCTGTTTTGGCTCGACGCTCACCTAGCGGTCAGCCGCCGTAGAGTCTACATCACCTGAAGATGCCTCGTTGGGCAACCCTCCGGAAAGCGGGGGAGGGAGGCGGTGGTATGCTATGAGCATTCAACGCCTCCCTCCCCCGCTTTCCGGAGGGTTACCCATATTTGCTTCGGGGGCAAAAAAAAGTGTAGAGGCGAAACACGTGTCGTATTATCGTCGATCCTGTGTCTTTCCTAGAATAGTGGTGTTGGGAGTAGTGGTGATGGGAACAGTGGTGTTGGGAGTACGGGATTAGTGGTGACGAGATCAGTACACGCAATTGAGGGAGGGCGGGAGGTGCTCTTCAATCTAGGTAAGACACATCAATGTATTTAATTGAGCAAAGTGCAAAGTAACTATTAATATCTTTACTAGTATATTATATCAATCGTAGATAAAGATATTAATAGCATTCTCTGTCTATGTCAAAAAAGAAACAGCTGGCACATTTAAGCAGTGTTGTTTTATTATGTGTGAGTTGTAGGTTTTTTAACCATCTCATTTGTGTAATATGACGGATTTTTTTGCTTAATGAGCAAAGTCAATCTCCAAATAAAGTGCAAGAAAGAAACTTCTAATTATTTTAATTTAGTCATATTTTCACCAAAATTTTAAAGAAGAAACTCCTAGAGCAAATTTCACCAATTTTTCACACACATTGTAAACACTCACCGAGTTGGTCCATCTACAGATACAGCGAATCTCATACCCAGTTGGATCACAGCTATCTCGTTGGGTGCCACCTCCATTTTACCAAATTCGGTGGTAATCTTAAGGGTTCCTTGTTGTGGCACTGCGTGAAAAACCGATATTTTTTTATAAGTACTTAATTATTTCTCTTTTCATGAAGGCACATAAAACTGGAGCACGAAATTGCCTATTTTCGACTGGAAGTATTTGAGACCATAGAATTCTATAATACACAATAGAATGGCTGTCAACCTTATTTTGTACGACGATAGGCGTCGCCGGGAGCACACATACAACCAATTACGTCGTATTATCAGTTAATCACTACTACAAACCCGATTCGCTGTGTTGACAGACTGATTTTAATACATATTTATTTGTAAATAGCGTGCAATTCCGCATTTTCTAAATAATTTGCATGCGAAATTTGGAAATGATTGTAACGTCAAAACACATCTCGAGTTGACATTTATACGTGTGAATTGACGTGTTAGTGACATTTTAGTGGCTACGCGGGCTCCGCCCACTCCCCCGTTCTATTATGTATGTATTATAGCATTCTTTGTTTGAGACTGATAGTTAATGTCTATCGGCATCAACTATCAGTCTCAAATACTACCGATGGGGAAGAAAGGTTTTCGAGTGACAGCTTCGTATTGGTAAGCGAAGTGTAGGTTGGGCCCAGATAGATAGAGTAATGACCTGGTAAGAGATGCAGGAAGCCGATGGATGCATGTGGCTCAGGACTATGCGTTGCGGCTTTCTTTGTGGGAGGCCTATGTCCTGCACAAGTCTACTGCTGAGTAGACTTGTGCAGGACTGTAATAATATGATAATATGATGATGATGAGGCATTGCCAGTATGTATTTTGAAACCCTACTTTCTCAAATAGGTAATGACGTATAGATAGTCTATTACCCGACATAATTTTGATAGAAATATTTTTTTGTGGGTGGGTGTCCTCTTTTGGGGTTTTTCTTTTTATTTGGCTGTTTTTTTATGCTGCGGTACGGATACTTATCTTTGCCATCATCTGTCGAACATTTTTTCATCCAAAAATTGCCTCTTACGCTATGGATACGGATGAAACGATGTTTTGTTTGTTTTGTTTTATAGGATAGGATGACAAACGAGCACACAGTCCACCTGATGGTAAGTGGATGCAGTGGCCCATAGACATCTACAATTATCTTCGAATACGAATCAAAATGCAGATGCGTTGTCATCCGTGAGGACTTAGGTGAAATGCCTCGTTTCCAGTAAAAAGGGTCTCCGGTTCTCTACACTCACCATACGAAACACAGCAGCATTAAGCTACTATTTGACGCTGGTATTCTGTGAGAGCGTGGTCCTTCCCCGGTCGAGCCGACCCATTCGTGCTACAACTATACTACTAATATAATTGCAGCATGGCTCTACCACGTAAGCGATGTGATAGATTTACGCTGTCATTGCAAGACCCGAATCAAAGAATGTAACTTATATAACTTAATCAATAGTGAACACTTTTTTAGGAATTGTGCTAAACTAGCAATCCATCCCAGCTTCGCACAGGTGATTTTTTTATAGAAACAGGGTGACAAACGAGTACACAGTTTACCTGATAATAAGTGGATGCTGTCGCCCATGGACATCTACATTTAACCTCGATTAAGTATCAAAATGCAGATGCGTTGTCACCCCTGAGGACTAAGATGGAATGCCTCGATTCCAGTAAAACGGGTCTCCGGTTCTCTGCACTCACCATACAAAACACAGCAGCATCAAGCAGTTATTTGCTATATGCTGGTATTCTGTGACAGCGTACTCCTTCCCCGGTTGTGCAGACCCATTCGTGCTACAACCATATAGCTGCAGCGTGGCTCTACCACGTATAAAATTCGGGTGATTTTTAGATCTCGACAACTTCGCCATCTACCAAGTCCAATTGTGAATCTAAAGAATCTAAACCAACCATCCATCTAAACCATCCAACTCAAACGCATAAAGAAATTTCACCAAAATCCGTTGCATAGTTTAAAAGATCTAAGCGTACAGACGGCGCGGTGGAAACAGATTTTGTTTTAATATTATGTAAGAGATTATAATTTAAACCGAATATTCTCTATCTCTCCGTTTCATTCTTTATATCCTTCATACTAGATAGGTCTATTTCTTACCTATTAACAAGTCTCCATCGCTGCTGTAGAACGCGCTTTTGTCCATAGAAGTGTTACAGAGGTAGATATGTATAGCGATGCCGTGGCGGGCGCGAGCGTCCCCGGCGCCACAGATTGTGTGAAGACCAGCTACAAAGTCCATTTTATGATTTGTTGGAGGGATGTCGAAGGGCAGCCATCGCGACTTTACACAAGAAAAAAAAATTATTACCGAGTTTATATTAACTGTAAGGGGACGCAGTAGTTCTTGCGTGAAAGTGGTTTAGGTTTTGGGACGAATGCGGAAAAAAAACGAACGAAGACGAACAGCAGAGCAAGGATATCAGCTGCCCAGCGCTCAGAGTATAGCCGCTATAGCCCAATCTTTTAATTAAGGTTTGCCGACTGGTGCATTCTTCGAAAGGCCTAAGTTCAGTGTAGACTAAAAAAGACTGAGTTAATACCATAAGTTTTAGGTTAATATTATGATTCATGATAGAAAGTTACAAAGGTAAATTGTATTTATTTAATTTTTGATGTGATAAAGTCACCAAAATCATGGTAGTTTTCAATGTAATAATGTCCTCAGACCGAATTTCGGTCACGGCAGTCATCTGCGCAGGACAAAATCACAGTACCCAAGTATATGCGCTAGTACAGGTGTACTCTCTATTCTCTCACTCTTATAGTTTGGTGGGACGGTAAACCGACATAACCGGAGAGAGGACGGTAAACCGACGACAGGACCTGCGGCTTTAGGTGCTTTTCGAAGCACGAGGGTAAAACAGCGCCATCTACCTGACTCCGGGCTCCTACTGAGAATTTCTTGACAGAACAACCCAATGACAGAATTTTGTCAAACCCGGGGTTCGAATTCAGGACCTCGAGACCAGCAACCGCGTTTACGGCCACTGTACTAATTCATCTATATAATATATAAATAAATAGCCATAGTATGGCTATTTATTTATATAAAACTCACAATGGCGTGGGTTCATGAAATGTAGACTACACCAGTCGTTTAAGTTTTAACGTACACATAAATATTAACATTTTAGATTGGCATATTGGTAGAAATACGAAAGGGATAAAAATTTTATAGAAAATTTACTACATTCGTAGTAAATATGTACCTGATTGGGGTCCGGTTCCTCTTCATCCCATTTTTGCGTGAGAAATGTGGCGATATTTGTCCTTTTGAATGGCTTGTGAATGACAGATGGACGAATCCTAAAATACAAAATATATAAGAGTCTAAGAAACTTTTGATAAGTTATATAAATTATTAAAGGAAAGAAGAAGGGATATTATGTGTTACTGCTAGTATTAGAAAAAAAAAGATAGACTACCTATACAACCAAGATCGCTTGTTCTCACTTCTTGGTGCAGTGAACGCTGTGCCTGAAAGTTGTTCAGCGTAGAGGCCGTAGGGGCACCGCTGTGGAGAGTTCTGGCCAACCGGCAGTGCACCTGGACGTCGAGGGTCTTCTGAAGAGAACTCCGATCCAAACCCTGAGAGGTACTGCGAATAACGTCCACACAAGTAGTGCTTAAGGAATAACTACATATCAATTTACTTTGTAACTACATTGTTTGCTAATTTATCAAATGAACATAAGTACTTAAAACGAATAATATTGAAAGCGGCTTGTTTATTAGTAATATTTTAGTCCAGTAATGTAATGTCATAAGAGACGATCTTAGGAAGTGAGTTTCATATACGTTGTAGAGCCACGCTTTTTTTTTTTTTTGTTACATGGTGAAATGCCTACGCATACCCGCCTCGCGGGGGCAAGGACGGGTTATGTCGGACTCGCACCGACTAAAACCCCATGGTGTTCCACCTTTGTCGCATATTGGCAGGGCTACGGGAACGCTTTCGCACACATCCGCGGCCCTACTAGCGCCTGCCGCCCCATGGCAGCACCTCCTCGGGAGAGGAAAATTCCTCTCCGTTCTCCTTCTAGGTAAGGCGCACCAGAACACATGGCGCGCCTTCCTCCACGGCCTCCAATTACGTCTGTGCAACAGACGCCCCCGCGTCCCATGCACAAAGGCCATGGGGCCAGGAAAAACGAGCACTTAGAAGTACTAGCCTTCCCGACCCCAGCGGCGGATCTGGTCTATGGCTCCGCCGCCAACCAAGATTCGGCTGCGGAGGGTAGGGAGAGCGGCGCCTCGCAATACCGACAATCCTCTCCCCCCGCAGCCCCACCACCACCGCATCAACGGTGCGGCCCCGTTTGAGTCGCGGAGGATAGGGCGAGTGGCGCATCGCCATACCAACACTCCTCTTCTTCCGCGACTCCACCTCGGCTGCAGCGGTAGGTGGGGAGGACACACCTCTCACCGCAGTCCACCAACACACATCCAAAGTGGGCTTGCCAAGCCCACTCGGAGTGGCCACCTCGGGCCGGCCCTCCACCTCGGACCAGCCATATGGGTTCCTCTTTGTTTCGCCGTGGGTGACTTAGCCACGGCTTCTAAGCCCCCCCGCCACGACAAGGCGGGAACCCGTTCGGGGAGGATGCAACTACGTAATTGTTGTAGCAGGATATCAGCGTGAAATAGCAGCTTAATGCTGCTGTGTTTGGTATGGTGAGTGTAGAGAACCGGAGACCCTATTTTACTGGAAAGTAGGCATTTCACCTTAGTCTCAGTGTTGATAACGCATTTGTAATTTGAGTTTTAATCAAAGACTTATGTGAAAGTTAATGGACTACTGCATCTACCTACCATCAGTTGGACTGTGTCGCCTATCACTCTTAATAGTAAAATAATTAGTGTCGGAAAGATTTTATAACTTCTGACCCCAGATTTCCGACAGATGGTTTTCATCAGGCGTAAATAACTCAGACCAGTGACGAGAAGTAGAGTTGCAAGAGTAAAGGTGCAAGAATTTGGTGACTACAATCACCAATCCCACTACCAAGCATAGCAATTAGCGCAAGCCTCCTCTAACCAAGAAATTTTTTCCAGACTTTTAGAGACTGATGTAGAAGAAGAAAAATAATATTTTTTTATATAGAAATCATTAATGATGTTGTTATTTTTGATTCATTATAGCCACAGTATGAAATATTTGAAGAGTTTTCGCTAAGATAACAACATTATTTGTTTAACATATTTACGATAATATTACTGGTGATTAAAATGTACATAATAATAAAAATGAATACAGATAGGACATTCCTAATAAAATAAATTATAAAATAATCACACTTACTTTCAACTCGGTCATGGCGCACACAATTATGAAACGTTTGTCTAATCAACTGAGGCGACTTATCTATCTGAAGAGATGAAGGAGACTAGCTTGGGCCTTGGGCTTGGGTGCCTACAGGTATGCAAATGAGTCCAGTTGTTTACATTCTCGATAAGCCTGCCAATACACGTATGTTTATCGAATATCTTTTTATTAGCAATTTGTTATGGGGATGTATTTTTTTTTATATTTTATTAGTGCAGAAAAACTTTCTTCACTTATAGATTTCGTTGTATTTTTGGCGCCCTCCCCCGCGGTTTTTTTTTTTTATAAACAAAGAAATTAACTCAAACACACAAAAAATTATGTTTTTTTTTTTTTTGTGTGGAAATTTCCATTATAGTATATTTTTATATAGTATTTAGTTGTTTATGGAATAATGTCAAGTACTTTGAATTTATTATCTGTCCCAAGGTTTCTTTTTTTTGGTCTTTGGGTAGTCAGTGCTGGTCGAGAAGACTGCGTAGAAAGTTTTTTTACAGACAAAAGAGATATATAACACTATTAGTCATTACGGGTTACGGCTTCGACCGAAGGAGAGAAGAGAGCAGATACATCGATGCTGTACGCGATAGTGATTTATAATTGTTTAATTACTCATTATTTGTAAGCGACGAGACGTCCTGGCTCAGAATGCCGCCATCTCTCTATCGATGGCCGTTATCTTGTTTATTTTCCCCTTTCAAAGCTTGCTATACCTCATTTTAGTGAACTAAACCGGTCACTAGAAGTAGTAAAGCGTCTGAAATTGCGACCAGCAGTCTCTTATCAAGTATGGTGATTGCAGAAAATTTTAATCATTGGATAATGTGAGACCCAAGCTAGTCAAATTTCCCACAGTTCTATAGACTGTCACAGGCTTATACACAACAGAACATACAAATAGACATAATTTTGTTCAGATTCCAGAGTGTATTCGAGGTCTACAAGATGTTTATGAAAACAAGACTTAATTGCAACTACGTTCCCACATATTTGTTATTTTGAACAAAATTCCTTTCATTAAGTATTTACGTTGTGATATTTTAAGATATAATGTCGTTCAGGCCTAATCTCAGTAACGACGACCAGTCTCAATGGAGACTGGTCATATGAGTATATTCAGACTAATCCAGAATTATTATCAGTATACAAGTGTAAGTGCAAGAATAGGTGCACTCTCTCTTCCCTCAATCTCATATGGATATATTTTTTTTGCGCCCGAAGCAAATATGGGCAACCCCCCGGAAAGCGGGGGAGGGAGGTGGGGAATGCTCATAGCGTACCACGCAGCCGGCTGCGTGGTTATGTGGAGACTTTTACCCACTAAACCCCACCTTTAAGGATTGACTTACCGATCTGACGAGAGATCTCTAAGCCGTATACGAACGCGACCCTTCTTGGCAGAAAGGAGGGCGCAGCAGAAAGGAGGGCGCAGCAGAAAGGAGGGCGCAAATATAGATATCTGACAGAACGACAATTCGACACCACCAAAGAGAGATCAGGCGTAGCATGCAACGGCTTTATATGCTATCCGAGGCATGGGGGTGAAACACCACCAAATTCCGAGTCTGAGCTGCTGGGACAAAAAAGCACAATAACTGATTTTGGCCCCACCCGGGACCACATTATCAGCACAAGGTGAAATAAAACTATGAATAGTTTTATCGAAAGTAAGCACGATTTTTCTTTATGATGGGTTCTTTTACCCTTCAAATGAACCTGTCGTTAATAAAAATCTAGCGAGCCTATAGCGACCTGCCCTGATTTCGACTATATAATATAATATCTATATATAATGATCAAAGACTATTTATATTATCAAAGCTTCGATTTATTGAAAAAAATATCACGTTTTTCGGATAAATATATAGCCTTGATCACTCCTGGAATTGCTCTCTCTATTCCAGAAGTTTACCACTATCGGTTCAGCAATTTCGAAAAAAAACTTGGACAGACAAAAATTTTAAAAATGGTTATTTATTTATACTACAATACAACCAATACAACCTACAACCATAATATAGTTGCAGCACGACTCTACCACGTAAAATCGATGTTTTATTGTGATATTGTTGCATGAATAAGTCAACTAGCGCCATCTAGTGTCAGGAACGAGAGCGAGGGGAGCATTGAGAAAATGACATCACAAATCACTCAACCGACAGCGCCTAGTCGAAACTCGAACGCTCGGTACCTTGCGCGTGTTTACTTGAACATTCTGGATATTTCTTTGCTAATTTAAATATATAGGCGCTGCAAGATGCGATGGGAGTAGTGTTGATTTGGCGAAACAAGCGAAGCTTCGGAGCGGAATAAAGTGAATAAGTGTGTTTAATTATTAGTGTTTTTAACTTTAATTTGTGTAAAGTAAATTAAAGTGTTAATTTAGGTAATTTTATCGGCAATTTTTATTGTCACGAACCTCAAGCTCGTAACAATTGGTGTCAGAAGTGGGATAAAATCATGCCGATTTTACCTAAGGAGGAAACCGAGGGTGTCCGTACCCGAAGTCAACGCCAGCAGGAGACGGACCAACGAAGATTTGGTGGTGCAACGCCGCAGACGTCGGAGGGCCAGCCACCGGCTGAAGGCCCGTCGGTAGCTCCTACATCTGCAGCACCTGACTTAGGTGCTCTGATGGAGATGCTGCAGGAGCAGGCTCGCCGACAGGAGGAACAGGTCCGTCAGTTGAAAGAGCAGCTGCAGAGCGGACAGGAGGAACAGGCCCGCCGATTGGAAGAGCAGCTGCGGGGCGGACAAGAGGAGCAGGCCCACCGACAGGAGGAACAGGCCCGTCGGTCGGAAGAGCAGATGCTCCTCATTAAGGACCTTCATGCTACCTTTGGGAAAGAGATAAAGGAGGTGAAGGATAAGGTTGCTCAACACGACAACCGCCTGTCGGAAGCTGAAACCCAAATCAAGGAAGCTAAAACCCAAATCGACCAAGTGAACAATCGGGTTTATTACGTGGTGGCTGACGTGAAGAAAACGCTGGACGACCTCAAACTGGATGATAGAACTACAGCTCCCGTAGTAGCTACTACACCTTCGCTACGTGGGTTCAAGGTGCCACCATTCGACGGGACTTCTTCCTGGTCAGCCTACAAAATCCAGTTCGAGGCTGTTATGAAGGCGAACGGCTGGAATAAAAATCAGGCCATGACTGCTCTCACACTAGGCCTGCGTGACCAGGCCTTAACAGTTCTGGAAGCTCTCGGTGAGGAAGTGACTTATGAGCAACTCCTTGAGGCATTGGAGGCGAGATATGGCGACGCTCACCTGGAACACGTCTTTCGTGCGCAGCTTAAAGATCGTGTGCAGCGCATCAACGAAAACCTGCAGCAGTGGGCTCTAGATGTGGAGAAGCTGGTGCGAAAAGCATACCGGGCTGTACCTGCGCTCATTGAAGGGAACCTGGTGCAGACATTCATCGACGGCATCCGCGACCTGGAAGTCAGAGCTGCTGTGAGGCTCGGGCACCACGAGACGCTTAAGGACGCCTTGGCCCATGCACTGGAAGTGGAAGCCGTGCGGCAGGATCATCGTTCCCATCGCGTCAGGGAGGTTGCAGCAGCTACAGTTCGCTACCGCAACAATGGATACAGCCCAAGGTGCTATGGCTGTGGGGAAAAGGGCCATCTTCGATCCAGCTGCCCTAAGCGAACCCTAGAAAGGGAAGGTGAACGATCTCAGGAGGGTAGTGCGGCCAACAGCACCGCCCAGCAGCAACAGGGAAACGAGTAAAAGCCAGAACTGCGGGGCGGGTGCTGGCTGATGTTAAAAGAGCCCCAAGGATCTCGATCTCACAAACCCATGATGGGAACAGTCTAATCATCAAGGGCGAGGTCAACGGAATGCCGTGTAAACTGACCATAGACACTGGAGCCTCTCGTACGGTTGTTAGTTCCCAACTTATAAGTCAGTTCCTTGGGGACTCCGCATACAACCGAGAACGCATTAATTTGGTAACAGCCACCAGTCAGCGTATACCCGTCCGTGGAGAGAAGGAGATGGAGTTGAAGCTAGGCAACGTGATCTACCTGCATAATGTCATCGTGGCTGATATAATGGACGACTGCATCCTAGGCCTAGACTTTATGAGGAATAATTGTTGTGAGATCGACGTTAAGCAAGGTGTTTTGAAATATGGACAGGAGGAACTTTTTATGGAAGGTGCGTTACCAGGGAACGTGTACAGCATTAAGAAGATTGTTCTTCCGCCGAGATCGGAAACGATTGTTCCGGTTAGTCTTCCTCGAAACGCTGGGCAAGCCCACCGTTGTGTACTTGTGGAAAGGGTAAACAATGACCTTCCATGGAAAGTAGCTCGAACCTTGGTCAAGACCACTGACATCTCAGGAGTACGTGTGCTGAACCTTTGCGACCGGGACCAGATTACAGAAAAAGGCACACTGATTGGTACTTGTGAGGAAGTGGATTGGTTACGTCGGTGCCAATATATATCGAGTGGGACCCCCAGCAAGGATGCAGAAACGAGAGTGACCACACTTTTGGAAGACTGTCGGAGTGTTCTCTCCCCGAACGAATTGGTCAAGGCGAAGAAGTTGTTACTCAAGTACGCCGATGTATTCTCATCAAACGATGCTGACATAGGAAAGACTGGCCTAGTTCAACACAAAATAAACACAGGAGAAGAATTGCCTATCCGTCAGCGGCCAAGAAGATTGCCGGTAGCACGTGAAAAAGAAGTGGAAACCATGATTGAAGGAATGGTGAAGGATGGTGTTATTGAACCTTCCTCTAGTCCGTGGTGTTCACCAGTGGTGCTGGTGAAGAAGAAGGATGGCAGCATGCGGTTTTGTGTTGACTACCGCCGTCTGAACGACGTTACGAAGAAGGACAGCTATCCCTTGCCAAGAATTGATGACACGCTGGACATGCTTACAGGAGTAAAGTGGTTTAGCACGCTGGATCTAAAAAGTGGCTACTGACAAGTAGAAATTGACCCTCAGGACAAGGAGAAAATCGACGGG